TGATATGTTGATCAGTACTGGCTTGGGATGGGTGTCATCACGCATCTCAACCAATGAGAGCATTTTGGGTGGACCTAAGACTGCAGGAGCACTCACATGGTTGTGCTGCTGCACGTATCAGAATGTGCTCGTAATCACGACTTCATAAGTGGGAAATAGCAGGGCTCGCAAAATTTCAAAATCCCTGGTAGCCCTTCGGGCAGGTACTCTTCAGATTTTGGTAGCCCGAAAATTTAACTAGCCCAAATAAAAAATATATAGAAAATCAGATAGGAGTTTAAATGTCTATCAAAAATATTTGAATACACAAATATCAACAAATATGAAGGAAGGAATTTCATTTCACTATTTACAGGGTATCTGCAGAATTTTTAAAAATAAATGTAATTTAAGAGCTGCACAAGTAAAATGAACACAGTATGAGTGGGGTTGGACAATGTCTGTGGTAACATACAGTACTGAGCCATAAAATTACATGATTTACAGTTCAGAACTCTATGTGTTTGCTGCGTAAAAATATGAGTTGATATTTGAATTGATCTGACCATAAACAGCAAGAAAGACTTGTTGGAAATGCAAATTAATTCTCTGCCACGAGGTGGCGCTTTAGGAGCACTGACAGCCATTCAGCGCTCTGCGGTTAGTACACGTAGCAAGGTGTATATATATAGATATATAGAAATGAGACTTGTCATTTGCACTTATATATTGTTGCTCTTTTGTTAGTTTTGACTGCTTTTATTGTCCTCATTTGTAAGGTCGCTTTGGATAAAAAAAAGCGTCTGCTAAATGTCTAAATGTAAATGTAAAATGTAAACAATCATGTAATGTAATTTATGTAACAACATATAATTTTTATGTAATTCTGAACACTTTTGTTAGATTTTTCAGATGTGTTTGATCGGGGTTGGGGCTAAACACTGCAGAAAGGTGGCCCTCCACGAGCAGGTTTAGACACCCCTGTTCTACCGTGTAGCTGTGTGAAGCCCTGCAAGAAAAGAATCTAGTTAAAATTGCAAAGATGTAGTCAAGTAAATGTAATATTATCAGTTTTACATGCAAATATTAACATTTGCACAATTTTTAAACTCAAAATAAATAGAAAGGGTGTATAGGGGGCCCAGAGGCCAGGAAGGCTCTTCGCTAAGGGCCCCTTGCCCTGTAATGCAATTTCTACTGAGGGGGATCAGCTCCCCTGATGCGATTTATAATTCCCATGCACCCATAGCAGCTCCTCGCTCATAAACGCTGCTTTATCAGGAATTATAGGTAAAATGCCAACGATCCACTTTCTGAGGACAGTCTGTTCCCTTCAGATACATTCAAATAAAGACATCCACGCCACGTTTTGACTTGAAACGTGCAGCGCTCATATTTATTCAATGGTTAACATCTTATGATACAGTGACTTTTTTTTTTTGGTGAGGTGTCTTGCTGTGCTTACCTTTGTGCTTACCTCTCTGTCCACAGGTCGAGAAACATTTTCAAGATATGGAGAGCCAAAAATCAGTGCAGCATTCACAGCAAGCTCAACAAACACAGAAAGACTCTGCTTTATCATCATGAGCCCAGGCTCAGAGAGAGGGAACATTATGCTGACAAAGGAAGTGTTGTTTGTTTTAAATTAATATTTTCTGATGCTTTTTTTTTTTTAAACCAGTCACCATACAAAGGTTGAGATAGCTGATACTCAGCGTTTTGAGCAGGGATGACGGTCCTACACATCTGAAGAGAAAATCTGCTTCCACTGACAAAAGAGAGGGCAAAAATAGAGTGCCGTCTTAGGAAATCATTTCATATAGACAACATTTGACATCCCTTCCAACATCACTCCTCCCAATCCCATTCTGTTTGATATCCTTGTTTTTTTCCTCCCGTCATCAAATAACCCACTTGTTCATTTCATCTTGCTTGGATGGCCAACAAAGAAATCACATTTTCTCCTCTAATCCATAATCTTCCTTTCTACCACTACAAAATGTGGCACTAAGTGTGTGAGGGTAGAACAAAAACTATTTTCCTAACTTCTAAAGCCTTTCAGACTGGATAAATACTCTTAGCGCACATGCAGGGTTTGTTTTTTATTGGTTATTTTTAGTTTTAGATTGACTGAGGCCTGAAGGAGGAGTATGTGAAATTGAATTGCACTTAGCATCTACCCAACATCTCATTTTCCCAAACATTTTTTTTTAATATAAAACTCCATTGTTTTACTTTTAAATGTCACTTTTTAAGTGACAGACGAAGGAGTAACACTCTTGAGTACTGTACGCATCCTTTCAGTTTACGTGTAATATATTATGCTTTCTTCCATAATGGTCCTGTACTTGCCATTTTGAATGCCTCTTCCACAGTGGGACCATTTTCTATGATGCAATGTTTGTAGTATTGTTCAATTTCCGAACACATCCAAACTGGAAGGGTACATGCAGTAACCGATGAGAGACTCGCGTTTCCTTGTTATTCCAGCTTAGACATATGTCAGCGTCAGACGGCTCATATCTTGCTCCACTCTCACGACAGGACTGATCTCTATTCTGAACGGGAATATTTGTAATCACCTTTTTGGGAAGAGGAAATGTTAAAGTGATATCTTGCCATGTTAAGAGACTGCGACAGGGGGGACACGGGCAGCACCGGCTCAAAGCCGAAATCCTCCCCGTCCCAGCCTCGTGAACCTTAGCCTCGTAGCCTGATGGAGGCTCTAGCAGTGGCGCCAAGCTGTGACTGGCATCCGCGTTGCATACCAGTTTATATTGCTGTGTGTTAACGGGGTTGCTGTTCGCCTAAAGTTTTCTTTCGCGGTATTTTATTTTTAAAAATAGTAATGAAGAAATAAAAAAGAGAAAAATCTCACTTGTCTTTTTATCTCTATTTTATTTTATACAGAATTTATATATATATATATATATATATATATATTTAATTAAAATGGTATGAAGAATAGGTTTTAGTGAAGTGTACAGGGGACAGGAAATGTTAATTAGGTACACTCTAATTAATGCCGGGTTGTTTCAACCCAACTTTGGGTCAAATATGGACTAACCCAACCGTTGGGTTACATTTTTACATTAAATTTTTAACCCAAAAGTTGGGTTAGTCCATATTTGATCCAAAGCTGGGTTGAAACAACCTAGCATTTTTTAGAGTGTACTCATTTTGTCAGGGAATCAAAGGGGATCCCTTGTCATTGTTTAATGAGTTTGAATTATTATGTACAGCCTTGACTGGAATGAATCATTGATGCTAAAGTTTTTCCATTATTAAGGTACTAACCTATGCATTATTTAACGCATGGTCTTGTGTTTCTGTCCCTGACCCCCATTGCACATCCAGGTTATTGTGGCATTGTATTTGGCCACTTTAGTTTGCAGTGAAGGTGAGCATAACATGAACAGTGAGATATCGCACGTTCACTCAAATGTAACAATTACTCTTTTTATTTTTTTTTAATAAGTGAAACACGAAAGTAAATGTCAGAGAATGTTAGATACTGTCAGTCTCCGTCAAGATTCATTGGGATTTTATTTATTTATAGACGTACACAATGAATGGTGATTGAGGCTAACTTTTTGTGTACCACGGGGGAAAAAAAGAAAAAATCAAATGGTTTTGGTATTTAATAACATATGGATGAGTAAATAATGTATTTTTGTCATATTTAATGTCAAATGTGACAGCTGCGTTTCTGAGTACACGAATTATTGGGATCTTTTAATGAATCTTGAACCGATTCACAAGGCGGATGAGATAGATGAAATTATAAACTACATAAAACAAGCTCAGGAAATGTTTCTGACATTTTTATCGAAGCAAATGCAAAACAGTTCATTTTAATACATTAACAAATCTATACACAAGCAAAAGCAGACAGATATTAATTATTTTTGTACAGTTTAATGTAAATTAAATGTTCTAAATTACTTTTTTGAGCTGAATCCTAGCTGCAACCAACTGAACTGGCACAATAAAATAACTAATAAACAGCTATATGTACTACCTATACGTAACTTTTGGATCTTTTTAAAACGTTTAGAGCATGCAATTATTTTTATACGATTAAGTTATGACCATAGACCGTATGGTTATGACCTACAGTCTATGGTTATGACGTAAAAGAATCGCTGTTTTTTTTTTTTACCGGTTCTAAGAAACCGGTTCGAAAGAACCGATTCGCGGAAACGAGTCTTCCCATCACTAGTGCGTTGCGCATCTAGTTGTGGAGCCGGACTGAATAACTAAGAAAGAAGATTGTTGTTATTGACTAAGAGAGCCACGTTTTTTCTGTATGTTTAGTGGAGAAAAGGAAAGAAACAATAACTTTCAATGACTCGATGTTCCACGCATTCTGTACTAACCTATTAGTACGGTTTTAATTTTATCTCGGCAAAGACCTTAAGTTTTTTTTCTTCTTTAGTGTAATTATCTGTTATTGCGTGTGTGAGCGTTTTGGGTTTTAGTTTTAAGGCGATTAAATGCTTCTGACAGACATTTCAGCTGCACTGCGAATATTCTGTAAAAGTCTGTTTTGCCGTCTTAATACAGAAACGTTTAATAGAAACGGACGCGTTTATCTCACAGGGATCTCGTTCCTCGCCCGTAGAAAGCTGAGGATCCGTTAATCGACGCATGCAGAATCCCGGACAACACTTTAGCGCGCTGCACTGCAGAGTCTCTTGAAGCTGTCATCACATCATGTTGCCGTCCATCGCGTTGTTTTTACTCTTTCTGTCTCCGTCGAGGAGCTCGAGACTGTGTAGTCACCTCTGCCGGTGCTATGAACACTCAGACCTGGTGGACTGCAACGCCAGGGGTTTTGAGGACGTCCCACATGGACTTCCCCATGGCACCTGGCTCCTAGACCTGGGAGGAAACGAGCTTAAGGAGATCCGGAGTCGAGCTTTTGCTGGCCTTTGGTCTTTGCGTATACTAGTGCTCTCAGACAGCAGCATCCAGGATCTTCAAACACAGGTAAGACCTGCGTCCTGGAGATCTACCTTCTCTAATTAATTAAAGGGATAGTTCACCCATCCAAGATTTAGATGGGTTTTTCTTCATGGGATCAGATTTGAAGAAATGTATAATTACATCACTTGCTCACCAATGGACCCTCTGCAGTCAGGGCCGTTTCTAGCCAATTTGATGCCCTAGGCGAAATCCCTATTGCCCCCCCCACAAATTTTATATATATATATACAGTTCTTTACAGACACCAGTTGCTTGTCACATTCAAATTGGTTGTCATAGTAACGACACTAATTTGTGGAGATTCAGTGCATTGAGTTCCACAAATCTGAATGCATTATTTGTAAATTGACTGTTAAGATAAACATTTTGCACAATTTAGTATCTGTAATACCATTGTGTTGCCACTAGATGCTTGTATAGCCATATGTAACAATCCCTAGTGGCTAAGACATTGCACATAATTTACACATAAATCACACATAAATTAATTTTATTACATTTTAATTTGGATACTATATACTATACTACTACATATTGTTTAGATATTATCAATGGCTACTTTTTTGTCTTTATCTGTTTTTTGTTCAATTTTTTTGTTGTTTCTTGAAACATTGATTTAAAGTGTCAGTTATTGCATTATTATTTCAGTCAAACCTATAAAACCCCTTTGTTACCCCAAACTACATATAAAAGCTTTATCAGTGGCATAAAAGTAACCAATGCAGCTACTTAATCATTTGCTACTCGTTAACGCGTTAACGTCCCCTTTAAATAACGTGACACTCTGCCCTCTATGACTCTGCTCCCATTAAGCGCTGTTGGAAGTGAATGAATTGATTCAGCATTTCGACACCTCCATACGGATGCATTAAACTCGACAAAGCGTTCTAATAAAGCATGTATTGATCTCGTGAATTAGCGAATTTTACTATACAAATATGTTTTAATTGGATGTTAAAGTTTATATGGGAATATTACATGACACGCTGATCCTTTAACAATGCATTGGCGCAAAAACGCACACCTTTTGGAGAAATCTGCCACAAATATTTGGACAAATGTGCCACAAAAGTGCCACAAATACTGCCTAAACAAAATACTGATTTTGTGCACTTTATGTACTGTACCAATGTTTTAAATTGGCCTTTGAACTTAGCTTTATTGCATGGCAAAAAAAAGTGTTACCTTGTCAAAGCGCTGACAGAGCCCACTGATCTAATGGCGTTGTTGAGCGCTCCAAATGCAAACTTTGCATGCAGCAATCAGCCAGCTATTGACAGCACTCTGATCTAGTGATCAGATTGACAGTACTCTAGCCCAATAATGTTGGGGGATCCAGTGGGGGCGGCAGTCATATTTCAGGGTGACCGTGCCACTCTTTATCACAACCCTGCTAAAAGTGCCAGTACGTGCGCTCATTGGCGCCCCTTCAGCTGGTGGCGCCCTAGGCGACCGCCTAGCTCGCCTATGCCTAGAAATGGCCCTGTCTGCAGTGAATGGGTGCCGTCAGAATGAGAGTCCAAACAGTTGATAAACAATAATGATGACAGTAATTCACACGACTGTTATTTAAAATTACGACGTAATTTAAAAAAAAAAAAACATCAAGATGATTTTAATTTCAGACCATTGATTCTGGGTAAAATACAGGGAAAAAATGTCTAAATCAGGAGAGAAATATGCACAGATCAAGCACTGTTTACAAGTGAAAACAGTCGAAAACAGTGCTAAACAAATGGTGGTGGATTTTGAGAGGACAAGCGATGGACCTTTTCACTGGAGAAGGCATTATTTTGGATTATGGACTTTTTGGCCAGAAGCGGCAGTTTAAGGTTAAAACGCCTTAAAGGGGACATCAGATACAAAATTAACCTTTTCATGGTGATTGCATATAATGTGCCTTGGCAGTGTGTGGACACAACCACCCTACAATAAAAATCCATTCACTACTTTTTATTTTAATCCCCAAAAAAATTTTTTGATTTTCTGAGCAGTATGACATCATATTGCTCAGGCCACGCCCACATCAGCTGACGGACTGTCCTGTATTAGCATATTCTCAGCCCTCAGCCAGTTGTACGCTGTCCGCCATTTTCTCTGCGCTCTAGCAGTTGAAGCGAAAACAATCGCTGTATCCGAAATCACATACTTTCCTACAATATAGTATGTGAAAAACAGTATGTGAGGCGAGTAGTATGTCTGAATTCACAAAATTCGAAAAACAGTAGGCGAACAGTACCCGGATGACCTACTACTTCCTCCCGGATTCTGAAGTGCGCATTCGATGGCCACTTTACTATCCCATGAGGCCACAGAAGAGGATTTATGAATGGCAGTGAAGCGATGTAACTGACGATGGTAGGTCATCATGTGACCGTAACAACATGCCGGATGTAGTACGTCCGAATTTCATTCATACTACCCATATTCATACTGTATAGAACATACTTTT